CCGCCACCTGACGTCGATGTTGATTTTGTCTGTTTGATTGGTGGTGCTGCTTGGACGGATATCCCTTGACTATTCGTCCTATTTCCTCTGCACATGAGGCGGCCTCAGCTATCTGCCTGGCCCTTTGTAGTCGTTGTCGCTCTCGTCGTCTCTGCGTACGACTCTTGTTTTGGTCAGATTCCTCTTTTATTCCGCTTTAGATTTTTCTCCACTTTTTGATCCACTTATAATCCTACAAATCGGGAGTCGCCCAGCCCTCGTCACGTGGAGCCCGAGACGGGGCTCTACACGTTTCTTGGGGGGGGTGCTGGCTGGTCTCCAGATGTAGCATGCTGCGGTTGTCCATCTTGGAGATTTGGCCCCAATGCTATGGCCATTGCGACACCCTATCTTCCTCTGCCTCTACCTCCACGACCACGTCCTCTGCCTTGACTAGGCTGCTGACCCGCATTCCGCTGACTCCTCCAGTGACAATCATCTGGGTGATGATTGGTGCCCTGGCATTGAGGACACACTGGAACGAAGGTCTTGGTCATGCTCTGCTGTCCACCTCATCCAATAATTCCTCGACTTCGTCCTCCACGTCCTCCACATCCACTCTGTTGGCCACCTGCGCCTCTCTGTTGACCTCCTCTACCACGACCGGTCTGCTGTGGCTGCTGCGATTTAACACCCTTATCAGTACCATAGGATGCTGTCAACAGCTCCAGATGCTTAGCAAAACGGATTGCCACATCCAACGATTGTGGCTCCTTCTGAGCCACTGGCATCCTCAACTCTGGGCGAAGAGCATGAACGAATCGTTCGAGTATTTCAATGGGGTCGTCCGCTTGAAGTCGCATGAGCAAGTTCTGAAATCTCGAAGCAAAGGAGTGTACTGTCTCACCATATCCCTGGGTCAAGTTCCAAAGTTTGACCCTGACATTTCTCTCATGCAGAGGGGACTGAAAACAGTTGGTGAGTAAGCCTTCCTGCTCCAGCAGAGTCATAGGTCTTTGTCCTTCTGTAGAACGCAGATAGCTGTCCCACCAAATCCTAGCTGTCCCCTACAGGAATGTCACCATATAGGCAATGCTCTAGATCTTAATGATTTTTGTTAAATGAACATAATCTCTCACCATTGAGAACCAAGCAGTAACGTCCTTGTTCAGCTCGCCTTTGAAAGGAATTGGTTCCCTTGGTTTGACTTGAGTCGATAGTCCCGTAGGGTCCGTAGAAAATGGGTGGTAGCCTTGGCATAGGGCAGGTCTTGGAAAAACTGGTGGAGTCGGGGGAATAAAAGACTGCTGCGGTGGTTCTGGTCTTGATACTGGAATGGCAGGCATTATAGACTGCGTACAGTCTACAAATGGGGGTGTTGCCACATCCATGCGATATTCTGCCTTCATTGGAGGCAGAATTGGCAACCCCAATTCATCAGTCGCGGGTGTTGCAATGTCGGATATGCGCACTGTGTTGTCAGTGTCTACAGGCATATCGTCAGGGAAGGTTGCAACCTCAACGGCCTCAATGTAGCTCTGTAGTTCCACCATGGCTGTTTGGCTCTCCTCCAATGACGCTTGTAATCCCTCTATCCATGCATCTTTAACCTGATTGTCCATTTTCAGTGTTTCCAGCTCAGATCTCGGCTGGTTAACTGTCGCGGATAGGTCACTCTGCTGTTTGTTTATACACTCCTCCATGGCTTGCGCCATTCCAACCTGGTCCATCTTGGTCGCCAATCCCTGAACCACGTTCATTGCAGTGGCTTGAAAGCGCGTCTGGTTGACCGCCTGCTGTAGACTCGAAACTGATGCAGCTTGCTGATGTTGATTCACTCTCAAAGCCTCCATATTCTGCTCTAGAACTTGTCGATGGGTGCTGGCGGCATTCACGACTGATTGCAAATCAGTCAGTAAGCGTTGGGTTGCCTCCCGGACCTGCTGCACATCTTGGGACTTCGCAATTGACAATTCTTGAACTTGTTTCTCCACTCCCTTGATTGCGGATTGCATGGTCGCCGCTGTCTTGGCCAATTCCCTTGATGGAGAACGCCTCTCTCGACTTGATTTCCTCTTGGTTGTAGTTTCCCTTGTCCGCGAAAGTCGAGAAACATGAGAGAATGCGGTCCCGGGTGGTGTAGTAGCACCCACTGTCGCCACCCTGCGAATTGCAGTACTGTACGGTGCTGCGACACTGCGTCCAGTGTCACTGGGTGCTGCGTCAGCGACAGCATGTGCCGCAGCGCCCCGCTCGGCATCACATGACAGCGGAAATTTCACGTATTTTCCGTTGTAGTTCGCAGCCACACTTTCCGCGCTTAAATCAGCCTGATTAGGCAGATGCTGACTTAACCTCACGCGACCCGGTGCGGTGCTGCGGCCGCTCTGGGCCCCTCGCAACTCTGCCGCCTCCGTGTGGCGTGACGGCCCGGACACGCTCTCCCCGCTGTCCGCGTCCATGGCGTTGGCCAGTTGGGCCTCCTGCGACATGGCCCTCGGTCTCCAATCGCCGGGCACAACCAATTGCGACCTCGTTGCGCGTTGCCGCCGTTCGCCGCCAAGATGCGCGTCCAGAATCGACCTTCCGCCGCAATTTTCCACCGGCGCCGTCCACAATCGAGCCTAATATTGCATTCTTTTCCACTCAATGCGGCCCATTCAGCCCGGCCACGGTGTTGCACGTTCAATCCGCGCGTCGGCTCACGTTTTCCGCCGCCAATTCCCACCGAGCCTCCGCCGATTCAAATGGGCCCAACGTGGAAACCCGGGATGGCATTTGATTCAGCACTTCGAATCTGTCGCTATCACTTCACCAGCCTTGGCGCAACTGTGCGCGCCAGTCTGCACTTCGATTCAGCAGAATTCCAGCCGCTGACCCACCAAAAATCGTCTCCTCGGCTCAGCCGGTTCGAGCCGCAATTGGCCTTAAACGTGGCCTCCTTTCTCGAATCCCACCAGCCGTTCCGTTCGGCCACGTTGCTGCGCTCCCGGCGCCCGTCCTAGCACGCTCGGCGTGTCGAAATCCAGGCTCCAAAACCAAATTTCTGTCGGCTTCCCTTTGGGCCCCCGCCGTCGCGAGGGGGCCTCCGATGCGCGTGGTGGTTAGCCGCTCGATGCTCCGCCTCCGCCGGGTCCGAATGGTCGGACTGCGTGTGCTGGGCACGGTGCTCGTGGCAGTATGCTCGGGGACAGGCGAGCTCGCGGGCTCCGCCGGCCAGGTCGGCCGAGGTCGCGGGGTAGGGTCGCGGGCGCAGTTTGCTTGTGCGAGAAAGAATTATTACTACACCGCACTCACCACATAAGTACGGTGAACAACTCGTAGGTCACCGGTGCGGAAACAATCCGTGTCATGGCACCCACACCGGTGCCTTAGTGTACTGTCATTGTACCCATACACTTCATAATCCGGTAATAAATGTCCTGATCGTTCATAATCTGATAAGGGGCCCCACCACAATTGTAATACATTGACCGAAGCTCTGCCATTTGTCCCATTTGGTCGCCATTATCCTGGGGGATTCTACAAGCGGGGAAGGTAATAAGAGGGAGTGTTTAGTAAGGAAAGGGGACGTGGGAGTGTAGTGGGGGAGATGGAGGGAGCTCCGGTAGCGATGGGGGAGTAAGCGAGAGCGGGACAATTAAGGTATAGGGGCCCTAGGAATGCCGGTGGGTGGACGGGTCCAAGTAGGGTGGCATAGAGGTAGGACCGGGGGACGCAGTGCAGATTTGGGGAGTGGAGACGGGTTAAGAGTTCAGCGGGTATTCGTGGGATTTTATTAGTAGCAAAACCGGGCTAGCATTGTACAAAGGAGGGCAATAGCTGGGACAGCAACGGAGGATATTGGCCGTGAAAGGGGGCCACCTCCGAGGGGATGCCGGTATGAAGTGGGCAATCCCTTTTAAACTAAGAGCATCTTTATCGGTCGGTGCTATTGCACCAGCGGAGTTATCCAGGAACGGTTCTCATTGGCTGTTGCTGCACCTTACTAAGGCGGCATTTGCCGAATAGCGCCGGTGCTACTGCTCCCCTGGGGGCATCCGCAATGGTGGGTGCAATGCCTATGCTGAATAGCGTCATGGCAACACTACAATGTTCTGCGCGAATAGCACTGGTGCTATTCTGGGGAGCTATTCGGTCTCGAGCGGAGCTATTCGGGGCCAAAATAGCGCCGCTGGGTGCCGAATAGCTCCGGGGGAGCTATCGGGGAGTTATTGCTCCCCAACCGTTCATGATGGTTTTTTACACGTGCGGAGCTATTCGGATAGCCAAATAGCTCCGCCGGAACAATAGCACCGACCGATAAAGATGCTCTAATGCTCCGGTTCTGTTTGCGTCGGACTGCGGCCCTGAAGGCCTGCCTCGAGTGTGCGACCTCCGCCGGGCATCCGCGAGTGAGCCGGCAGCCTTGCTGCCCAACGAAGGGTACCGGCATTAACACTCCGAAAGGCACTGTGGCCCTGCCAAGGCAAGTGTCCAACACGCCCCCTTACGCTTTTATCTACCTTTTGTTCCAATTCTAGTTCCGCTGGCCACTTTTCCAGCGCCCTCCCACACACCACCACACCAACCGTGGCCCATCAAATCGCCGCCCTCAATCCGGGGTAGCCGCCCCCCGCGGCTGAATCGCCGATGCGTCACACCCGCGCCACCCCCCCGTCGGTCCCGTGCGCCCGGGCCGCCTCCCCGCCATCCCAGCGCACATGTCCGGCCGCAGCAGCCCCAGGGACCTTCCCGCCGGAAGGCAGACTGGCGGCTTGGCGCGCACGCTGGCCTGCACCCTTGTCCACGGCACGCACCCCCCAAAAAACTGTGCCCGCCCTGACGGAACCTCTGTGGATCGGTCGCGCCACTGGGCGCCCCACTCTCCACGGGCGCAGTCCCCATCGGTTGGCGAGCCCGTGCGGAGAACTTGGCCTGGATCCGAGGAACCCCGGGCGGAGTGCCGGCCGTGACGAGGGGCCTGGGTAGCGGGGTGGCTGTTGCGGACGGCCGGCGGCGCATGCCGCAGGACGGGCGCGATGGAGAAGGATCGCCTGCTGGGGGGGCGCTATAGGCTGGGGAGGAAGCTGGGGTCGGGCTCGTTCGGGGACATCTACTTGGGTGGGTGGCGTCAGCCTGGAAGGTGGCCCCGATCCTGCGGTGGGAGTGACGATGGGCGAGTCGGTGACACCGTGTGTGGGTGGCGCCGCAGGGATTAACGTAGAGACCAAGGAGGAGGTCGGGATTAAAATTGTGAGTGGGGGATGGCGGCGCTGCGATTGCTGAGGCCGCGCTTGCTGCTTCCTGGGCCCGGATGCGGCCCCTTGGGTGGGTGGGTGGATGGGGGGGATCCGCGAGGCGCTGAGCTCCGTTCCCGCCGTTGCTTGCCGCGTTGCGCAGGAATCTGCCAAAACCAGGCAGCCCCAGCTGCTGTACGAGTCCAAGTTGTACAAGATATTGAAGGGTGGAGGTGGGCAATGGGCGCGCATCGGATTGCTCCACATCGGGGGCCGTCAAGGGGACCCCGTCCAGCCGTGTCCTGGGATGTCTGATGTGGATTCTCTGTTGGCTTATTCGAGGTTGTTTGCTTGTTCTGCGCAGTGGGGATCCCCAATGTGCGAACTTTCGGTGTGGACGGCGGCAACAACTATTTGGTGAGCAGACGCGCATTGCCCTGCGATGCTTGCCTGCCGGTTTTCTCTCACGTGGGCAAGTGGCTCGTTCTGAAAGAGTGGTCATCAGGTTGGGGCTGTTCCAGCGGCAGCGCCATCCCAGCCTGCCTGGTTTTTGTGGGGAAGAGCATCATTGAGCAGTGCCCTGGCTGAACGGGACGCTGCGGTGCGCCCAGACACTCCCAAACAAATTTCAAACGAGCTTCTTGTACTTTTGCAGTGCGAATTGCAGGGTTAGGCTGCCAGAGGCGGCTGTTCTAGCCAATGCTGATGCGGTCGCATTGATGCTAGCATTGTGTAGGGATTCATATTGTGGACGTCGACCTTGCAGGTCATGGACCTGCTGGGCCCGAGCATGGAGGACCTGTTCAATTTCTGTGGCCGGAGGTTCAGCCTGAAGACTGTCCTGATGTTGGCTGATCAGATGGTGGGGCACACCCACCTGCACACGGATGTCACCGGACATTCAAGAAATTGAGATGCACAAACGATTGTCACTGGGCCCTGGGCTCAAGCTGCTGCCTATGTGCAGGGCTCCTTGGACAGTTTCGATTGCACCTGTGAGTTGGTCGATTTGTTTTGACTTTATTATATGTTTTTTAGTTTAATTATATTTTTTTCTATTTTATTTTATGATTTCAGTCTTCCCCGCAGCTGTATGCACCTGGAGTTCATTGAAGCGAATTTCCCAGAACATCTGGCCCAAGGAGTGAACATTGCATGACCACCTTCCTCCTCTCTTTTCAAGAACGATGGCTGCATCCATCCATACCTGTGTGCCTTGATTAGCTGAACCGCGTTGAGTACCTGCACTCGAAGAGCTTCGTCCACCGGGACATCAAGCCTGACAACTTCCTGATGGGCCTGGGCAAGAGTGCCAACCAGGTGCATCTCATCGACTTTGGCTTGGCGAAGAAATACCGGGACCCACGTACCTTTGAGCATGTTCCCTACTATGACAAGAGGAGCCTCACAGGGACTGCCAGGTACGCCTCCATCTGGGCGCACAAGGGCAGCGAGCAGAGCCGGCGCGACGACTTGGAGGCCCTGGGGTATGTGCTGATGTATTTTCTGAGGGGCTCCCTGCCATGGCAAGGCCTGCGGGCAAACACAAAGAAGCAGAAGTATGAGAAGATTTGTGAGACCAAGGAGAAGGTCCGGCTGGAGGACCTTTGTCGTGGCTGGCCACAGGAGTTCATCAACTACTTCAAGTATGTCAGGAGCCTGAAGTACGGTGACAAGCCTGACTATGCGGGGCTGAGGAAGCGGTTTCAGGTCTTGTTTCGCAGGCAAGGTGCGTGTTCAGCAGGCGGTAACCCCATGCAAAACGTGAGGCCACTGTTGAGCGGCGATGAGTTGTTGGACAATTTGTCAAGCCTCTCGGCAGCCTTAATAGACCCTATTTGTGGAACCCAGCAACGCAGGTCAACTGAAGGGGAGGCACACAATCCCTCACCATCAGATCTGCGAAGCTTGGCCCGAAAGGGAGAGAAAGAATATACACTGCAATATGGTTGTCCCACCTGGAGGGGTTGAAGATTGTCCCTTGAATCAGGAGTGTTGAATCGGTTGAATCAGGAGTGCATCCAATGCCTAGCACCCAGTTGGAGCACTGTGTTCCCAACCCCAGCCCAGGTCAGCTCAGGCATGGAGCCTGCACAGAGTTGCCTTCAGCGTAGCTGGTGTCTTGCCTGCGGAGAAATGAATCACACATAGCCGTGGAACAGGAGGAGGGCAGCCCACCCAGCTGCTGGACACCAGTGATTTTTGAGTTGCACTCTTGCACACTGAAACTACAAAGCAGCAACTAAAAGGACTGGCCTGTGTTATTTCTTGCTGGTGTATCAGTTCCAAAGTGTAAACCATCAAAGTGTGGTAAATTGCAGCCGATTGTGCACAGGGCTGTCATGGGATTATAAGTTCGACTGGATCCAACAGAAGAAAACCAGACAGAGTGGAGAAAATCTGTCCACAGGCTCTAAAGGCCGGCTGCGAGACATGGGCACCAGGCTTGCCCCTTTGTTGACATCAGGGCAATCAGAGCGAAAGTAAGTTCAAACGTGTTTTCTTCTGTGTTATGCCTCTTTCTTAAGCAGGACGTAGGGGGGGGATAGTATGCGGCTGATGCTGTTGTCTAGCTGCTTAGCAACTTTGTCTGTAGGCAGATCATGGTCAACTTTGTGCCTTGAAGACGTTGGAACCAGCTTGTCTGGATTCACAGCTGAGCATGAGCTGAGCCGAGCTGAGCCAAGCTCTTGGTGAGTTGCTTCGCTTGGGTTGGGAGCGCAGGACACTTGCAAGCAAGGTTGGGTTGCTGATGTGCTGCCTTGTCATGCTGTCCATAGGCCAAGGAAGAACAGGTGCAAGGACAAGGACAAGGTAGGCAGGGAATTTGCCTTCTTCCCTTTTTATGAACAGATTTCGTCCATGGCAAAGTGTTGCCAGTGGCTGCATGTGCAGCAATATCCAATGGCAACAGGTGATGTGTTTTTCCGATCACCTGCTGCTAGAGGGAGAGGCTTTGAGTGGATAGTGGCAGCACTGCTCATCACTGAAATCTGTGGTTTGACTGTGTCACAGGAGCTCAGTCGAAAGCTGTCAGGTGCCAGGCGCTTATTGGTGAGCAGATTCTCACTACACCTGAATGGGATCTGTGTTTTGTGCTTCTCTACAGGGGTGAGGCATGGTTATTCACAGCAGACTTCCTGAAGGACAAGCACAAATGCAGAGTGTTGATGTGCACCTGAGATTGCGAGTGTTGTGATGTGCATTATCATCAGGAAAGTAGCTAGACAATGGAGCCCAGCCATGTTTGAAAGAATTGCTCTAATCGTGGTTGGGAAGGCGAAAGGTGATTTACAATGCTGCCGTTCTGTGCAGGCCCTTTTTTCCTGGAGCTGACACAGCAGTTGCATGGACATCGCCCCAAGTACATAGCGCCCGAGTAGGATCCATGCATGTGGTGGAGACCGGACGGCGAGCGACACTAGCATAGCATCGATGGCCCATATGCAAAGTGCAACGTAAGGTCCTGACAGTGCCCTCCTGGACACCGGATGCTGAGCGGCTCTGAGAGTGTTTGGGGCATGAGGGGGCCATGAATGACATTCATCGACAACAGCATTATCTGTTGAAGGGATTGAAATCAGGGCGCGGCCTCTCACCTGAGGGGCATGGAGATTGGATCGGTGCATGGCCAAGCTCAAGTCCTAGTCGATAGCGACTGTGAGGCCTCCTGATTTGTACAGTTGTGGGGTTTGATTCAGGAGTATGAGATCCGTAGATAGCATGATTTGTTGGTCGGCCGACGTGCGGGTCAGCCGCCCTATTTTTCCCAGCGGCCGAAACGATGGGGCTGACGAGACTTGGGATGGGCAGCCCCAAAGATGTGATGAGGGAACGAGACGCGAGCACTCGTGCAGTGCAAGTTTGAGGCCAACTCTTGGCCATTGTGCTGAATGTCTTGCCAATGGAGTCCCGCCCCTGCTACCGGGGGTGCCATTGTGGTTGTTGCTGTAGCTATTGTGAGAAAATGTCATTTCCATTTTTCACTTTTTGTTGCCTTTTGCTTTGCTGGATGTCGGACTGGTGCTGGTGAGGGGATGATAAATGTGCACTGGACTTGGCCAAGTGGTGAATATCCTGAGAAGGATGACCAAGAATAAGGTGCTTTGTTTGCCTGCTGCGAAGCAGAGCAGTATCGGGCAGAGCGAGGCTGGCAGCCGCCTCCTGGCGGTGCACAGATGTGCGCAGTGCTACAGGGGGAAGTGTTTCTCAGGCTGTGCAGCAGTGTCCCTCAGATATGTTGTGTTTGGCACTTCCGAGTGTAAATTGTGCTGTTCCTGTTGTTCCTGTTCATTGGAGTGCATGGGGTCCCGAATTGCGCAGTGGTATTTCTGCATTCCGTGACAGATATCTCCTGGATGCAAATACGTGGCCTCTAATATCACCTCCCAAGGGGTACCGACGATGTCCAGGAATCAACTAAAATGGAAAGGTGGAAATACAGGTAAGATGAAAATGTGCAGTGGCTGTGCTAGAAGGGTGACCCACATTCTGCCTATTGGGCCCACGCTTGCGCAGACCAAACGTCCAAGTGTCGCCCCTGCATTGCTCCTACCGTAGTAAAATATACCCTTCTGCAGTGTAACGTAATGTCTGGCCTTTTTATGCGGAGGAATAACAGCAACGTAACGCTGCCAAGAAAATGTGGAGCAGCCCCAGCAGCAACGCGGGAGATTATATATTATATATCCGGACTGCTCGTGGCGTTTGGCGGCCCCAGATGCACGAGTCGCTGTGGCGGAGAACCGGCTTTTGAGGCCGTGCGAACACAGAAGAGTCGCCATTCCCGCATGGCCATGATGCGGAGCCCCCATAAGAGCGGCCTGTCAACAAGACACGGGGCAAAAGCGGAAACGCAAAAGTATAGAAACGGTTGAATGCACTACGGGTCCGAGCATGTCAACCTCGCTGTGTTTGACGTATGGACGTGTGAAATTGTGGCCTTACATGACTTCTGTTCTCGACGCACAGCAACGCCTAAAACATCTGCTGAACACCACGGACTTGGACGCCGACAGTCTGCACAATCGAAACCCTCTGGCGGGGTTCTTGCGTTTATTTGGGTGTGGGTTGTGATGTGTCACAAGGCGATTTCAGGAGCTCAAGCGCAGTGGCAGACCAATGGGCATGTTGCACGTCGCCCACCTCGGATGCGAGCCCAGACTGTCCTGAGCTCCAGAGAAGATGGTGAGGTGAGCATGTGGGGCTCAAGGTTGGCCGTAGTCACATCGTCAGCCCGCAAAGCAGTCGCCACAAAAGCCAGGTTCCGATGGAGGCCAGGCTGGCTGCATACGGCTTTAAACACGGTGTGCGATGGCTTACACTGCAATGAAAATGTTGATACGCCTTGAATGAGTTGCCCTGGAAATCGTATACCCCTGGGTCACAAAGAAACAAAATGTTGACAAGTCATGCTGCAGGTGCTCCACAAATCGCAGCCCCAGTGCTCAAAAGCACAAGACCTGCAGATACCAACAGCTTGAGACAGCCACCAACCACCAGCTCTTCCCTGCTCACGATGCCACGACCGACTGAGAAGCCCCTACTTATCCTTCTTGGGTTCCTCAGGTTCTTGAGTCTCTTCTGGCTCGTGGACCGTTTCGGCCACAGGTGCACTTGGCTGAGGCTTCTCGATGCTGCCTCGGAGGTCGTTCAGCCTCTTGTTGCTGTCAGACAGGTCCGTCTTCAGCTTCACGTTCTCGTCCTCCAGAACAAGCTTCTGGTATGCAACCTGATAGAAGCAGTTGAGCAGCCTGGCCCCCCGACACACCCACAAATCAGCAAGGCGCTGAGGTGTAAATCCCAGTTCTTTGATTCCATCTGGTGAAAGTGAAAAATCAAAAAGTGGTGCAATGTGCATGCAAGTGCGTTTCATTGACAGTTCTACAAGTGCTGGTATTTTGTACTGAAGCGCCATGTTATTGGCTCCATTGATTGAGATCACCAACAGCGGCGAACACTCGAACACACTAGTGCAATGATTGCACTCCAGGGTGCAGGCTGCAGATGTACATATGCTTCATTGACAACACCTGCCAGTGGATGAAAAACATTACAAAGGGACAGTTATGCTGTTGTTTAGTAGCCTGCAGGGTGTTTCCAATGCAACAGGAGCAAACAATTGTCCTCTTCACACACTGCTGATAAATACACCCGATCAGTGGACCCCAGCTACTTGCCACCCCATGGGCTACAACACCACCAAGAAAAGGGAAAGCAAACTTGTCCATCTACCACACAAGATAGTGTGCAATACAAGGCATAATGTGGCGCTTTTGAGCGGGATTCCTCTTTGGTGTTATGCACCATACTCCTGGTGATGTTATGAACAGCTCGACTGCCCTTACAACCGGAACATTGGAATCCAAGATGAGAGTGGTTTTTCTCCATCCCTTACTAGTCATTTGCTCAGTTGGTTTATTCACAACACAACAAGGACAACGTCACTGGTTGACATCCTTTAATTCCCGACTCTGCAATTCGAAATGATAGATAAACAGATGTTACCTGCACGTCCAAAGGGTTAGCAACACTTTCCCACTCTATAAAGATGACGCGGAAGTCATCAGATATGCGATGCTGGACAACCACTAGTGCACGCCAAAACGAGGAGGAAAGCCTGGGCAGAAAGATAGGCTTCAGAAAAGGAGCTTGGGGGATCGAATGTCAGTGATAGATTGCACATTGTTCGCCAGATCTTCGGAACTGCCTGCCGCTGTGCCATATACTCACCACCACATCAAGAAGCTCAAAGTTGAGATCCAGAAGTTGCGCTCTTGCCTCCATTTGAGCCCGTAAATCTGCATCTTCTGGTTTGGGGTCAGCATCTCAGTTATGGGCTGCCTGGGCTGGAGCATCTCTGTGGTGGTGGCTGCATGGATGGCACACACACATTTCTCTTCATATTTTCTTCCAATGCGTCATCTTCTTTCATGTTTCATGGCCTATTACTATGGTCCGCGGGGTGTTTCATTCCTCTTCGGACAGTATTCTAACTTTGGGAGGCTAAATTCTCTCGCACACAAGTTGTTCTGCAGCTTTTATCTGCTGCTTTGTCTATTCGGCAACTGGCCATTTCATCCTATGCTGCCTTGATGTACTTGCAGTGACAACCACTTTCAGCACCCACATGGACACTCCCACAGTACACTCTTGCTGGCTTCTGCAGGCTACATATGTTCTTAAACTTGTCACTGGCAGCTACTAGAGCGCTGCATTATGTGAATATGGCATGCTTATTTGACACTGTGCTCCCTTGTGTGGCCTGTCTCCTGGGTTTAGCCACATATCAGCGAACACCAATGGTCTGCTTCATATGGCATTTTGATTCGATTTGATGTGTTTTGCTTCCATCGTTTCAAGCAACTCAACACATACAAGTCATTCGACTCTTGAGCACAGTAGTACCATGCTGCTTGGCTGCATTTACACAAAGGGTCCCAAAATGGTTTGCGGGAGGGGGATGGGAGGAAGGTAGCAAGCCCAGCCCATACCCTGGACAAAATCTTGCCAGGGTGATCAGCAATGGCATCAACGAAATCGGCATATCCATCCTATCAAACAAAGTGACAACCACTGTCGCATGAACAATGTTTGTGCAGTAATCCTTCAGACAAGACATCCTCCGCCGCACACATGGACAAGCACACCTAATGGTACAACTATGGTTCATAATCCGTACCAACGAGACATGCCCCCGTGATGATCAGCATCACGTGCACCAGCTTCAGCCCAGCTCCTGCACACCGCCCAAACAACACCCTTCAGGCTACACCCCTCCCCCTGCAGGCACCCGTTCATATGCACTTGCACAACGCGCTCTTGGTGGCAAACGCAGCAACCAACAAAAAATGAACGGGGAGACAAACTTTTTGGATGTTTGCGTGTCTGTCATCGCCTGCAAGGTGCAAGGGATCGCAATGTCTTCCGAAGGCAAATGCAATACAGGCAAACTGGCAACTGCCCTGCCTACCCAAGGAGCAAGAACACACGTACGCGGAGCGCATCAAGTTGACGCTGCCAGCCATGCCGTGCGCCAATGGCCCGGCGCGGCAGCCGCGGAGGGAAGCCCCCGCCGGTCGATCGTCTCCCACAGGCCCCAATCAGCACAGCCATGAATTCTACCCGGATGCTAGTTTCGGACCAACCTTGCAGGTGCGGCCAGGCGCCAGTGTTTAGAGTCAGGCGAGATCCGCCCCAGGAGGCTGGCACTCACCTATCCGTATGCACATCACCGAGTGCGCTGCTTTCAAGAGTCCCCGTCGGAAGAACCTGCGGGACCGTCGAGACGCATTCAAAAATCAAGCCAACAGACAACGCGTTGGGGCATCCCTCCTGACAAGACCATCTTGGCCTCTTTCTGCCTTACATCCCGAAAGAGCCACTGTCGAAAAGAGCTGTCTCATTCTGTCGGACCGTCTCGCAAAAAGCGATGCTTATGGACGACGATAGCACCCCAGACCGGCGCCGCCCATCACGGGCAACAGCACGAAACTGGGACTGCAATCGACGCCGACCTTGGGCGAAATCGGCTAGGAGGAAGAATGGCCGACGGCATTCACCTGGGCAACGGCAAGCTGAGCAGCATGACCAGGACGACCGGGATGGGCAGGCAGAAATCGACCAAAGCTCGCCAGCCAGTCATGGTGATGGATCTGGGGCCGTTGAGGGGGATGCAGGAGGGACGGGGCGGCTTGGGGGGCGCTTGGGCGTGCTGGCGGGAGCGAGCGGGGTATGTCCCTGGACGCGTGTCGGTGCCCTGCTGTCCAGGAACGTTCTGCGCGGGCTTTTGTTCGCAAGTTCGAAGGGCGGATTAGGCGCAGCGCCTGGGAATGTGGCTACGTGATGATGCTGGAGTTGGGCTGCGATGAGGGGAATGCGTTCTCTGTTCTGACATTTTTTGGCCCTTGAGCAGCCACCCCCAGCCCCAATTACTGAGGGAGAGCCTGCAGCATCAGCAAAGAGCGCGGAGATTATATAGATGGGCGTACTTGCTGCAAAGTAACCTTTCATGCGGGTATCGGGCGTGCTCTTACTTTAGGAGCATTCCTAACGAGATAAAACGGTGCAATGTTGATTCTTTCAAGCGCACTTGATGCCAAGCTCGCAAGCTCCCCTCCTATTTTCAATCCTCGTGTCGACGCCCGCAGCGCATGGTAGCATTGATTGTAAATTTGACGCAATAATTCAACACAGGATAGGAAGTGTACAGCTTGCAATCCACACACTTCGCCACACTAGAGGTTTGCAGTGCACGCCTCCCAGCAGCCCTAGGACAACATTGCTTGGGGCATTTAATGACGAAAAGAGCGCATTTGGCGAAATGCGACCTGCATACAGTAAACGATTCCATTGGGTGAGCGAGCTTGTTGGAGTGAAGACATGCACTGTTAGCTTGCAGCCAGCAGTAGCAGTACAGAACTGTGGCATGGTGTCGCAATGGGGTTGGGTCACGTCTCGACCCTTGGACATGTGAAACGCTGTAGCCGGAGCCGAGCTCACGTTCGCCAATGAAGGTATATAAGACAGACCGAGCCAGTGAGTGTGATTTGCCACTGGCCCTGTTGCAATTCTGCATGTGACGGGAAGGTGTGGAATCGGCGATGTCCTGCTAACTAAATTTTGGAGCCGCGGGCCCCTTGGGTGCCTTGGATTCCAAAGCCGGGCGTGGCACTTTCGAATGAAGAGTAAATTGCAGAGGCAATCCAAAATGGAGGCTGAACAATAGAACTAGGTTTGAAACAAGTCAAGGACGGTAAGGCCATTTCATACTTATTGTCGAAGTTGTGTCAATTTTCTAACTCCTTAGCAGGGAGCTCCGCAACCCCAAAGCGTCAATTTCGCACAAGGCTTGGCAGCCCAACATAGTCGCATCCCTGGCATTCTAAGGCACAGGCATGCATCTCCAAATGAATGTTCTCGAAAGCAAGCCGAGCACCAGCAAATTCAAAGTGCAAGGCTGCCACGGGTATGGCACATTGCAGGGCGTAAGAAGCCAGCCACCTCCTGACAGCGCTGATCGGAATTGCAACAAGATGGCCCGCCGGTGGTGGTGGCCATCAATATGCTGTTCATCTGCCGCCATCGAATTTGTTCTTTGGTATGAACCATTTGGCTGCATGTCAGACCAATTGCTTCCATTCTTCGTCACATTAATGTTGGAACACATTGTACCCATTCGTGTACTGTGTACGGCGGCGAGCACTACCAAAGTACCCAACGGTTGGCAGAGTTCTTGCCATGCGTATGCTCAGGGAATCTCAACCTTGTGCTGACCTGGCAGCTGCTGAGCGAAAGCAAAGCAATATTCCGTGATTTGTCGCTGTGTGCGCAAAAGGCGGGATGTGGCATGGCCTGAAAGGAACCGTTCGTGTGGGAGCTATGCCTTTGTGAATTTGTTTGTCAACGTTTGCAAGGCAAACATCTGTCCTGCGCATTCAAGAGCTGACAGCCATTCTTGCATTGACGCTGATTGTTCCCACCAAAAAATTCTGTGCATGCGGCAACAAGCGAGAGGCTCACAGCACAATTCCGCAAATCCCAACTAAGATGAAATAATGCAGAACTCCGACTCGAAAAATTGAAATGATATCAGGTCTTCATCCATTGTCTTCTCAGTGTAAACTTCTCAGTGCACTCAATGCACTAGTCCCAGCCGTTGTTCGCTTGCTTCAGCACGTATGCGGTTATGTCGGCAAGCTCACTGTCAGTGAGTCGAGGCCCAAACGTGCATTGGCCCTGTCGGCAGCAGAAGTCCAAATTTCAAGGTGCAGCAAAGCCAGCACATCGGCTGCGGCGAAAATTCGAGAAACTGAAACAGGTGTGTTGCCAACAGTACTCGTGACTGCAACTCTCGCAGCCACCAAATGGTGAATGTAAGCCTCTCAAAAAAAAATCCCTGCTTCAAACAGCTGCCAATCATGATGTGCCCATGCCGCCATGGAGACAGCACTTTCTGATGGCCAGCAGCCATGCCAGGAAATCTATCACTGCATCCCCTCAGGTCCTGGCCCCAACTGACATACTTAAAATCCATGCAGAGCAACACACGAGCCAAGTCACACACTGCACATTCAAATCTTTGCTGCATCAGGTGAAGCAGTAGAATGCACAATCATATCTGTTCATCAACCTCTCTGCAGCTGCCCATTTCCCCAAAGCAAACCCATTGCCAGCACAGTCGATCTCAGGACAAGCACAATACAGGTCATGCAATAGACATCCTCCACCGTGCATGTCATTGCTAGGACGCGGTGCCTGGTCCTTTGAGGACAAATGAACTCAAAGCCAAATAATGTTGCTCAATGGCCACTGATGCCTTGAACTGCATGGTGTGTTACAACTGGGCTTCCTGAGCAGCGTAGTGACTGTTTGTCCATGACACGCCAAATGTGATGCAAAAATAGTGTTGCACCTTTGGAGCGCATTCCTCCCCAAATCCTGGCATTCGGCCTTTGCCCGCATAGATGAGTTTGTAGAGGGCCCCTGGTTCATCCAAGCCGTTCGCCTTTAGGTCAGGCAGCTTCAGGGTACTGCCACCCACGACGTTTCCACCACCAACATGGCACCCTGCAGCACAGGAACAGCAGATGCTCAAGGTCACTCTCAAATAGTATGAGGAGAGATGCAAGAAGCAGAGGTACAAGCTCCCACGCCAAGCTCCACATGAAGGTGAACATTCTCCAAGCAGATGAGTTTAAAGCTCTCAGGGCACTAGACAGTCACCTACTGATATCGTTGCCAAAATCGTGCGTCGATTGCGGAAACTATGCATGAATGGGACTGTGCTGTTGCTCATCACAACCTGCACTAGCTCGTGCAAACCTTTCAATACAAAATATCTATAATGTTGATATTTTTGCTTGATACATTACCCCAGGAGATGAACCACAGATGTGTGGTCAAGATTCAAATTTTTGCAGTGAACGATTGTGTGTTATTGGCCTCGCGAAATTGAGAGGGGACAGAAAATTGGCAGAATGGTAGAACTATGCAATGTACAGACTTGTGAAATTTCTCGTGCAACAATCCTCAGAGCCCAGTGCAGATTAGTGGATTGTGACAATAAAGGCTTGGCAATTGATGGCCACAGATGGCCATCGGCTGCATTCCCAGTGCCAGTTTTCGCACCATACCAAGGCAAGTGTGCACATGACACAGTTTAGAGCAGTTTTGCCTTGCCGTTGCGTGATCTGCTTTCCTTCTCGCTGACAGAGGACCTGCATACTCTGCATCCTGCCCTTGCAGACCGCTAAAAAACTGCTGCTGTCCTGTTCTGAACCCAGTAGCATGTGCCTTGACCAGTGTGCCGTGCCTGCACATTGCTGAACTTGATGTGTTCCTACTAACAGAGACTGTTCCCGCTATTGCTGCCTCAGAATGCGAAAGTGACTCAAAAGATGTTATTCTTGCATCATAAATGCCTATCACGTCGGTTGCTATTCATGTGTGTGTTCATGTTGCCTTCCACAGAATGCGACCAATTCCATCACAAACAAGCGCTCGGCGCCACTGCCGCCCCTTTCCAATTTGCATCACCCTCACCTGCACAGCTGCTTTCAAACTGCTCGGCAACGGCCTGCGCCAGGGCGGGCAAGGTCCACCCCACCACCACCGCGCCAACCGCAGCCATCGCCCAACCCAGTTCCGGACGCAGCCCCTTATGGGAAGCGATCGACTTGTCACGGTCGATCGCTTCAGCTCGGGCAACGTTCGTCGATCGGCGCGGCGTCGAGACCGGGGTGGGTCTTCTCGCCTCATGGGCGATTGGACACAATCCGCACTGACCGCTGGGTGGCGGGATTTGCAATCTTCGTGTTGCAGCACTCGAATGTTGCGCGAGAGGGGGCCCGAAGGCAGGCAGTCCGAGTTGAACTGCCGTGTGGGGATCCATTTTGGGCGTCAGGGTGGCCCTGGAGGTGCCTGCAGGCTGCCTGGTTTGGAGGACCCGCGTCTGTGTACACTGTCGTACGGGGACACCAGTAGACAGCAGTTGTCGAAATGCGACGCAGACACCCCCGTGTGGGCGAAATGTGGCGTTGTTGTCCTGTTTCTCTGCGATTTCAAAATACTTGGAAGTATTAAATTAAATCGCATTCGACAGCCCAGGTGGCAAACCCCTTCCCGTGTGTGCATTCTTCCTGCAACTCGTGTTGGTTGTGCTGTGTGCTGTCCATCTCGCACTGGGAGACTCAAAATCATCAGCATGGAAGAAGAGTCTGCTACACGCCTGCGCCCATTCCTTGACCTGCTTTCCTTCGAAGCTTAGCGAAACAACAAAACCTACCCTACTCCTCCCCAAATTGACCAAACGCTTTGCACAATCCGGCTCACACAGCCCTCCCATCGTAGCCTCCTTTCCTGCATCGCGGCACCGCATCCCATCTGTCAAGCACACCGTAGGAGGTTGGATCTCCCGCAGCATGGACCACCATGACCTCAGCCACCCTCGCCAGACGCTCTTCGACGCGCTGCTGGCAGAAAGAAAGCGACGCCGTCAGGTTGGTGGGCGGCACGGTGGGGAGCTGCCGTGAATGTTTTGAACCAAAACAGGCGGCAACCCGCGAGCCTGTGCCGTGCCAGGGCTTGGAAAAGTGAGGCCTGGTCGCATGAGCAAAGGGTCGTTGACCCTGGGGCGCCTTCTTTCCTGGGTTCTTTCCTTTAAAGCAAGCAACCCAAGACTGATGTCATCGTCAGGAATTCTAACATATCAAGGCCAGGAGGCAGCTTCCTATTTCGCCCAGGCAAAGCAGTGTCCATCAATCGTTTCATGAATCCTTTCAAGACCACCGCCTCAGCAGCAGATTTGCCGCATTTTAGCTCAATGGAATTGTACGCACAGATCTGCTTGCTTGGCGAGTTACGAGGTCATTCGAATTTTCCTTCAAGCGTTCTTTTGTCGGGGAGTGGTGGGCCACTGATGGCTGCCTCTGGTGACAGAGGACCTGATGTATTCACTGCTTCGATGCAGAACACGCCACTGAGTCGGCTTGTTTACGTGGCGAGACTTTCTCAGCGCCAAAATACATTCAACCACGTCCAAGGCAAGCACATCCCAGATTGAATAGGAGCTGACGTGCGTCTACTCAGCTGCATGTCAATATGCCAGCCCCTGTTCCACGTTTTCGTTTTTTCAGCTGCTGTGCGACATTTGGATCTCTTAGGTAATTATACCGCCACTGCGCATCCTGATGGACATTGTACCCACGTTCAGATAAGGCCCAGTGCCTTATCTGTTCTGATGATGAACGTTGCATTTTCTTCCATTTGCATAAGTTGATGCTCAGCACAGCATTTAATGCGCATTGTGTGGATATTTTCAAAACCGGTTGGGGGCCGAGCCCTGTCATGACTAACAAGTTACTGTCCTGCACCTGCTTTCAGGATCTTTGGAAGACATATTCACCAAGTACCGCAAGGATGAGGACGGCATAACGGGGGGGATTTTCGTGTATGCCTGGTGCCTTGTCAGCGTCGTCGAGGTCAGGCCGCAGCGCCGGGCGCAGCCGCCGCTAGGGTGACGGGACGGGACTTGTGCACTGGGTGCAACTGGGTACCACTTTGCGGCTCACTGATTTTGCATGCCAGGGCAGGGAGAGCGTGATTGTGCCTCTTCTCCGAGACATGCAAAGGATGGACGCCACGGAGGGTATTGTGTCCGAAGTGAAGGTAGAGGCAGCCATGGTATTTGCGGCATAAACACAAATCGTATTTATTGTTTCAAGCGCAAACATAGTACATACGTTTTTCCCGTAAACAGGAGTAAAATTCGTAAATATAGACGTAAATATCCGCCCATGTACATAAACCCAGTACATATGTACTAAGCGTGTCCGGGCAGCGGCTGCCGAGTCCGCTGGAGTGGGTAGAAGAGGACTTTTGTTTGGCGGCATCGTTGCCGTGGGCGAAGTGGTCGCTGTGTTGCGGGTGCTCAAGGGGGCGGAGGACTGTTCATCATATGCGACTTCATCGTGTCCCCTTGTTGTCCCAGCGAGCCATAAAAATACGTAAACATAGCAGTAAAATAACTTCTTCTATGTGTTTACGGTTTTGCGCATAAAATCGTATGCTCAAAAACGTGAACCTAATTTAAACACTAAAATAAAGCCTGGCTATTGGCCATTTGTGCAATCCAATTTCAAGACGTTTTTGCCCACCGAGTTCTAAGAGTACATGACGAGCCATTTGTACGGATCTACGCCAAAGTAAGATGGCACTTGCGACGGCGCATGCTCCGCATTAGGTAATTTTCATGCGCATTGATGCCAAAGGCTGTTGCTATTGTGAAGTATCTTCAGCCAAAGCGCAAATGTGCCTCAAGTGTACCGAAATTGGGTCCATATCATTTCTTGGGATCCGCTGAATGGCCAAGCATTACGGGTGCTTTGTAGACGACTCAAAACGTCCGTGGGATGATCTGGGATCATGATATTATTGCAAATCAGATCATGACATGAATGTCAAGACTCGTATCACAAAACAGCATATTTATATTGGATGCAAAATGATGCTTTTCATGATTATGCGAAATAATTCCATTCCGAATAATTACGCGCGAGCTAGTTCAGAAGAATAAGCTTCTTGCGGTACTCCCAGGAACGCTGCAACTCGCCTGACACTTTTGATATTAATTTCAAGCAACTTTCAGAACCACTTCATGTTGAATCAACGCATCCTCATTCGTATTCGAATGGTGCTTATTTGGCAGTTATTGATTAATGCAGTACCACCGTGCCTCAGATCCTAGCGGCGATGGATGATCTTCCCAACCGGGTCTACTCAGATTGGTACGTCGCTTTCGTCGACGTTCCCCACGGGGCCCAATCAGGAGACGCCCCAGAGAGCAGCGCGTAAGTGTCTGGTTGGTGAATCAAAAGTAATGCAAATGCCGCAACATGATGTAGCATATGATGTGATGTGTTTCCATCGACACGCGGCAGCCAGCAGTGGTCGCCATCGAAGAACACGGAAGGAATTGAACTCATTGTTGGTGCATTGTTCCACTGGAGAACGTGCTGGCATTTGCTTAGCAAGCTTGAGGAAATTTCTTGCACGAGTAGAAAACAGCCTGTTTGCGAGGCCAACTGCGATGCCATTTGACACAAACTGATGCCATCACAGCCCCGTTTGTGCCATCGCACTCACTGTGACGGCATCAATTTGCGTCAAAATGGCATCACAGCTGGCATCGCAGACATGATGTTTTCTACCAGTGCTGCTATGGAATAGGGCAAATGGATTGTTGCAATCTGTCTACGGTGTCGCAAAGCTGCAGCAGCTCTATTGTCGTCACCAGCACCAATGGCTCAGTCGATTTTGATACGTGCAGAATTCCTCATCTGTTCGTTTGCACATCCATTGTACCCTTGCTGATGGCTGTTGTTGGGTAGGCCTCACCAGATGCGGCCCATCTAGGCCCCTATGGAGACTGAGGTCCGCTTTCAATTGCATCGTGTATCCAGGAAAATCGAGAGCAAATTAATTTGTTCGAACGCACGTTGTGCCTTGCGCACACTGCGTCATTATGTTATTCAGCAATAGTTCACTCGATTCTAGTCAGCAACACCAGGTTTTCTATGAGCATTGCAGAATTCTGCGGTTTTCTTCCAGCCAGCGGGAGTTGTCTATGCTTCATTCTGGACAGAGAATATTGATATACCATACTTGTGTCAATGCATGATAGTAAGTGCAGCGACACACTGTGATGAATAGACTTGGGCTTTGAGACAGAAAGCTTGCTGGCCACCTCCACAGCAGCTGCAATTTTCCACTATGAAGCTACGCACGTCACCGGATCGCTCACCGCTGCAAAGCTATCCGGGTTGATGATATGTATGGTGAATGGAACGGGATGATTTGAGTTGGATCCACAGACATATCTACTGGGTGCATGCGGTCTTCTTGAATGTTTGGAAACGTCAAAGGCACCACCGCGACGCCTCAATGCTTCTGTTTGAGCCAATGCATTGTGCATATCAATTCGAATGTCTCCTCGCTGAAATGAACACCGGATCTTCCCCATAACCCAACAAAATTGCTGCTCAGGTTGGTTTCCACTGCCCACGATGTCGTGGCGGCACTGAGACGCATGGGGAAGATTTTGGAGTCTATTCCAGAGGTGACCCCACTCACCGCCAATTCCTTCTAAAAGTAAATTATGCCCTATGTTCATAAAATGAAGCATAGCGTTGCAAATCACACATTGGGAGGAAGGTGCGACGTGTTAACACGGGAAATGAGGTTGAAACGAGGTTCCCATCGTTTTCTTTGCCACCCCCCGCCGCCTCCCTCGCCAGCCAACCAACCAACCTTGTGTTGCAAGGATCGTCAAAAGGTGGCAGGGAGAGGATGAGGTACAGACGGTGCCAGTGATCACTGGCATCGGTCACGACCGATGCAAATATTGACAAATGTAAGATCATGATTACACCTTCTGCTCTAGCTTGAACACGGCCAACACAACCTCTATACATCATATGCGTATATGATGTCTACCAAATCAACACGGTTTGCAAAATGAGCAGATGCAATGTAAGTATGTCAGTTCTGTGCTAGCGCCCGGAAAAGTCTAATTCCACAACGCTTCAGCACCAGCGCGTGTTATTTCGCTTACGGATGCCCGTTTCTTGGTCTGCGGAGCGCTGTTAATGAACTCGAGTGCTTGAAACACTGCAACAGATCTTAATCAAATTCTATTCCATCCATTTGGCTGATAATTTTGATTCCGTCTCCGCTTTTCAGAGCGCAAGAATTTGTAATATTCAACCCTAGATCTGATACTTCAACGGTAACATCCCAATGTTGCGATTTAGATCTTATTTCCCTGTCTGTTTCCCGTCGCAACCTTTGCTGAAATGACCGTCTTATCAGTGCGCTTGACGTTTTGCGGCATTCTGAATCCGCAGATGGACATGAGAAATGCGATGAGGTCGCTGCAGCCTTATTGCGACGACGTCCCGTCGCCACAGATACTCATGTCTTTGCTGGCATCTGAGGTGAGCGCTGCAACTACGCCTCACCTGGCCCGGCCAACTGGCACTGTTGAAGCACAGCAATAAGGTCAAGACAACCCGATTGAGTATGCCGTTGTCGTTTTCAATTGTGATGGACAATGTTCAGAATGGTGTGTTGAACATACGATGTCCAGAGCTGGCACAGATCTCTAATGTCTATTTTGAATTCAATTTCAACGAACATCGAATTGACAAAATGTTAAATACGAATCGCCAAAGCACGGTCGGAAAATGTGTGAAATGCAGTGTCCACTTAAAATGTTGCCCAATAACTTTGCAATGCATCCATTCAAAAATATCGCATTTCTTTACCGCATAACCCGGTGGTGCTGCCGTGTCTGCGCCTAGTACGGGCAAATTTTCCGTGTTGGTTGCACATTTTAGCGACATCGCGGCATTGGAGCAAGCGGCGTTCTGCGGGAAAATTCGCATTTCTCTCCTGATTTCAAAATTGCGAATACACAAATGCAGCGCCCTGCGTAGGTTCAATGCTAATCCTTTGCCAATCGTCTTGGCATATGCACATTCCCACCGCGCCTCTGATGCGACCCACAAAGGGCAGATAAATTGCCCATCGCAGCTTCAGCAAATGCATTAATAAAGGGAAACCCGCTCCAGTTTCAATTGCTGTTATGCAGGTTCTTCTAAGTCGAGAAGATGTCTTCTGCACGCTGCTTTAAATATACAATGCAAATGATAATTGCATATGTTTTCAATATTCACAATTCTTTCCTTCGTTGTACGATTAAAATTTGCGGTGCCATTTGGATTGACACATGGGCTTGCTTTAAGGAAAAGCGTAAGAAGGAAAGTTTCTTCTTATGCTCATCGGGTTGTGCTAAGGATATTGCGACACAATCCCGGAGTGGGCGAAGCGCAAAGTGCTGCAGTACATTCTTGCCCGTGCTTTAATCGAATTGGCTGCCGATGCGCGCATCCACGTCCGCGAGCTCCCCAAGCACCACAATCCTGATCGATCCGCCTCATGCCGTTGCTGGCATTTGAGAGCACCTCTCTCTGCCTGTACACCAGAAACTCATGACCGTCGACGAATTTTTGGAGGCGTTCGACTCTCCAAACAACATCGACCTGGACAGCGAGAACATCTGGCCGATGCCTCCGTCCGTCGAGTGCACATGAACAACGGGGCGACTGCATGTGCGGCGTTGCCCGCCCTCCCCCCACGAGGCCACAAGCCATCCTGTGTGGATCACTCAGGGCATCCTCTGTGTGGATCCGCACACACACCCGCCTTGACGTTTCCAGGGCATTGTTTGGCCGCATGCAGCCATGAAACGCACGCGACGGAGTTCAGCCGGAGAAGGCCAACGATTCATTTAAGGCTGCGTTGTACGGGTTCGAAGATCAAACCCAACCCACAATCTCCGTCAACAGATGGCCATCACATCATCTGCAGTATTTTTGGATCTGGCTAAAGCTCCGACTTAGGGCCAGGGCGAGGAATTCGCGGATAGGAATATGGCGCCGGTTCCCTAATTAGGGACAAATTGATTTGAACACGGACTTCCTAACTTTCGGGGCTGGTTGAGCGTCATGTTCCATGGCATCTGATTGCACCCCCGCATAAATGCGCGTTCGAGATGCCATGTACTGGAGTATGTGCATTGAAGTGGTTTCGCATCAAAAGCTTTTGAGGACATTTGCCGGGAGTCAGTGCCGTGATTTGCAAGTCATAAGCGCAACTTGGCTTCACCGCATTTGGCTTCTTCAATGAAATGGATCCCAACAAACGACATTCCCGATGGGGGCGGTCTGCCGCGTTGACGTCCAATCAGTTATTCGGCCACAGTAATGAAATCGCGGCCACCTATTAAGATATAGCCTACCATACCGCAATGATGCTCTCTGCCATTCGCTGCCAGGCAAATCTTCGCCCTGTGGCCATGTCGAGCGCTATGTGAAGCAGCAAAAATACTTCGAAGTACTGCGTTCCTGAACACAACCACGCAGCGCCATTTACTAGGGAACTGGATTTTTGAATACAATGTGGACGCCCCGGGCCTTAATGACATTTTTGCATGAAAGGTTGTTAGGACTCTGCGGCTGGGGCGCCCACAGGCCGCGTCGACAAGCACCAACGGGTTTTGGCTGAGTTCCCCGAGGAATCCAAGCGCATGGAATATTACCAGCGGCTGCACAATATTCCCCTCCAGACAACCACCCCCGCAACGCCCGGGCCTGGACAGCTGCGCATCCTGTCCCACTCCCCACGGATGATCCGCCTGGCAGCAAAATTGGCTCAAGGACACCCATAGCCTCTCTCCGCGGGCGCCGGGGTCTCGCATCAACCCCATCAATGGTATATGTCCTCCCTAAATGGGATATTCCGTTCCCAAACGGTGCCCAGCTCCTCGCAGGATGCAGGATTTCCAGCTGCATCTGTTGATGATGTTTCCCCCTAAATGGCGCTCATCTAATGGCCCCTGGGTTTCCCCCTCCTCCAAATACCACCACCGGGCTTCCTTCTTGGCCAAACCGCCTGCCCCGCACCACCTCGCCCCTCCCCTTCCGCCGCACTCGTGCGGCCACCCCCCCGCGCACCCCCGGGCGATCTCCGCATCAATCACATCCCGCCGGGCCGAAAAACATCACCGATCGCGGGCCCCCGGGTGCGCAGCCCGCCGCCTGCCGCACCTCGCGCCGCCGAGATGCCCAGCGACCGCAAGAAGAAGAAGGCGGCGGCGTCGCGCGCCAAGGCGCAGGCCCGTGACGGCCCCGCACCCTCCGACGACAAGTCGACCGCATCGGCGGAGGCGGCCGTCAACGGGGGCGTCGGAGGGGCGGGCACCGCCGCCGAGGACGGGGCCGGCGCGCCCGGCCTGTCGGATCGCGTGTGCACGGGCGTGCTGGCGTCCCACCCGGAGTCGCGGGACCTGCACGTGGACAGCCTGACTGTGCTGTTCCACGGCGCGGAGCTGCTGTCCGACGCGAAATTGGAATTGAATTATGGCAGGTGGGCGATGCGGAAGAGTGGGGAATGCATTCCGCGGCGGGGAACGACCTGCGGCAGTTCTGCGGATGCTCTGTGGCGCTGACTTTGAGCGGAGGGTTGGGGGATCGTTTGGTTCGCTGTGGGAGGTAGATTGCGCGATTGTTGGGCATGGAAGTCGGGGCGGCACCCACGGGCGCCGATGCAGCCTTGCGGGAGGTTGGGTGGTGGTTTGCCTGTGACGGGGCTTGTTGTGATTGGCTGCGCAGGCGCTACGGCCTGCTGGGCCCCAACGGCTGCGGCAAGTCGACCCTCCTGGCCGCCATAGCGGCGCGTGAGGTGCCCTCGCCGTCGCACATCGACATGTTCTACCTGGACCGGGAGGCGGAGGCCAGCGACCTGTCTGCCCTGGAGGTGGGGCCCCCGCGACTGTGGGCGTCGGCGTGCGGGGATCTGCGCCGACGGCGGCGCGGCGCTGGACCTGCCGGTCTGCGCATTGTGATTGTTGGGTCCGGAAGTTGCTGTGTGTGAAAACGGTGGGACGGTGTGTTCGTTGTGGTGACAATCTTGCAGGCATGTCGCGCAAGAAGGTGGAGAGCTGGTTCGTCGTAAGTTAGCTGGTTTTTATTGCCGAGGCGCGTGCGCGTCTTCCCACGCGGGCGTCACGTTTTCCGACCGCGTTTTGTCCGCTTTTAGCGACTTGGGCACCACAGAAACAGTTGGACGGGCGTTGGTAAAGTACTACAACTGCCGAGATCTGGGCCGTCTGGGCTGTTGCCCGCCGTGGCTGTTTCTTGACTGGCCATTCGCGGCTCGTATGCGGTGCAGATGGTCATGAGCGTCGATGATGAAAGGGTGAGGCTGGAGAAGGAAGCTGAGCACTTGGCGACGCTGGATATGAGTCCGGATATCGAGCAGAGGATGCACGACGTGTATGACAGGTGCGGGAAGGGAGGCTCCTCCTTTGTGCAGCCCTCCTTGACCTGAAGGCTTGCTGACTGTTCTGGAGGATTTGTGCAAACATGGCACACACTCACAGCCTCACCTGCTCCAAGGTGGGCAATCTGTGAATAGCCCATTTGGCTGTGCCCTTCACAACTGGTTGGAAAAATGGCTGGCATTGGCGTGCCCTCGCTAGTGGACTACAGGCTGGACTGCACACTGTAAAAGGAGTTTGCCTTTGCTTGATCAAACTATGGACCAGTTTCCTGCTTTCCTGTAAGATTGCTTCCGCTGCATGTGGCCACCCATTCACAACTTCATCTGCTGGTGCACCATGGGACAAGACCCAACCACAGCTGCATGGGGGGAACACAGCAGGTGTCATCTTTCTGCACGAATCATTTCTTTATGAGATTGCCCAATTCGTGTTTGTGAAGTGCTGCGATCTGACGAACAGAAACTTTGGCCATGTTATTCAGATTGGATATGCTGGACAGTGATAAAACAGAGTCGAGGGCGGCATCCATCTTGCACGGGTTGGGGTTCTCAAGAGAGATGCAAGCAAAGAAGACCAAAGAGTTCTCCGGTGGCTGGAGGATGCGTATTGCCCTTGCACGTGCCTTGTTCGTCGACCCCACCTTCCTTCTCCTAGATGAGCCCACAAACCACTTGGACCTTGAGGCCTGCGTGTGGCTCGAAGACCACCTAAAGAAGTTTAACAGGATCTTGTTGCTCGTCTCCCACTCTCAGGATTTCTTGAATGGGGTGTGCACCAACATCATCCACATGACCAAAAAGAAGCTGAACTCATATGTGGGGAACTACGACGCCTATGTACAGACAAGAAAAGAGCTCGAGGAGAACCAGATGAAACAGTACAAGTGCGTCAGCTTGTAGCATGCTGTACACAGTTTTTGGACAGTACCATGACAACGTTTGCACCAATTGCATGAAGTGTTGCAAATGAGGTACATCATTCAGTCTTTATTGAACATGCAGCTGTCGCGTGCCACAGCGCTTTGAAGTCTGTTGCGTGCATTCCTGCTGGATGGAGCTTCCCAGGTTCTTTTGCAGTCATTTTGGTTATGCAGCCAATGAAATGCACTGAGGGCAAGTTTCTTCGACAGTGTGAGGGTAGCTGTGATCTTTCTTCAGTCAAAAGAGCAACAGTGTATTTATACCATGTTGCTGGTGAACCTGTTATCAGTTTGGTTTGGTTTTGTGCTCTTTGCCCCTGTAATTTGTGAGGTTGAATGGTCCTCTAACACCCGGTTCAATATCTGAAACACATTGCTGTGAAGCAAGGGTCCTTGGTCTTTTTGCTGGTGCCTGTGCCTGGTCTGTATGTGAATATTGCCAGCCAAGGGTTTCACAATTGTCTGGGGTACTCCACTCTCACCTTGCTGTGACAGGGTATCACATGTTTTTGCACATGCTGTGCAGATGGGAACAGGACCAGATTAGCCACATGAAGGAGTACATCGCCAGGTTTGGTCATGGCAGTGCCAAGCTGGCTAGGCAGGCCCAAAGTAAGGAAAAGACCCTTGCCAAGATGGTCCAAGGGGGGCTCACGGAGAAGGTGACGACAGACAAGGTTGTGAAGCTTACCTTTGAAAATGTGGGGAAGCTGCCCTTGCCAGTGCTTCAATTTGCCGACGTGACGTTCGGGTACTCCAAGGACAAGATCCTGTACAGAAATGTAAGTGGGAACAAGCTAGGATGTGTGGTGTGGACGAATGCTGCCTCCTGATAGATTTGATGCACAGTGCCCTTTGGTGTGCATGTGTGTCAGGATACATTGCACATTCAGGAGGAACAGATCATGCAAGAATAGTTGTGGGACATGAAAACGATCTTGGATGTGTACCAGTCCATTATTGCGCACAAGGTGCATGTCCACTGCTTCCTCTTGCCAAAGGCAATTTCAAGGGATTTGCATGAGAAATGGATCATAGGTCATGCACCAGAGCAGTATCTCCTGAGCAAGCATTCAACGAGCGCTGCTCATTTTTTGCAGTGCTGTAGCTGCCATTGTCCACAAGAATGAATTCGAAAGCATGGTGCATGCACCAAATCAACAAACATATACAAGGGGAGTGCCCACAGGAACCAACTCATCACTAGTCACTGTAGGGGTATCTGAGCGCAGCACATTATCTGTCAACAATCAATGCAGATAGAACCATCCCAGGCAGATGATGCACTGTCAAATGAGTGCGTGTATGTGCCATTATTGTTGTTATCATTGCGCATTGCAACTGTATCCACAATTGAGATTGTCATGCCCCTAATCTACCCAAAGACAGCCAAGAATGGCCATGTTTACATATCGATTCCCACCAAAGGGCCAACAGCTTTTGCAAGGAATGTCAGAACCTGTGTGCATGTCACTCAGGAAGGGCCACCGAGTGTGCTGCTCGATTGTGCTTCTGTGGACAGGTGACTGGGAGTTGCCTGTCACATGTGTGGGCTGTATCATACACAGTAATTCATACAGACAGCTCTGTATTCAGACCTTGAATCTTCGGTTGGAGAGGGCCACCGACTTGCAGGCAAAAGAAGGTGGTCAGTTCGGATACACCAAAAGGTATCAAGAGTATCATCTCTCCAAGAACTGCTGATGCAGCAGTCCATCTTGAATGAACTGATTAACAATTTGGTGTACTTCCCTTGCTATGCGTGCGCCTGTGTTCCGGATTATAGCCAGACATGTACTAGGTGATGCAGGGCCGATGTTCATAAAAGGATAAAGCATTGTACCAGTTGCTCATGCAGTGCTCGGTTTTTAGATTGAGTGAATCATTGCTATGGGCTGTCAGGTGGACTTTGGAGTCGATCTTGACTCCAGGGTAGCAATAGTGGGACCAAATGGCGCTGGCAAGTCCACACTTCTGAAGCTTATGGTTGGCACCCTGGAACCTCTTGATGGCATGGTGAAGAGAAACAACCACTTGAAGATAGGGCAGTACCATCAGGTGCAAGGGTAGCCACAGTCGCGATGTGTTGCATGCATGAGTTAATGTTGTGTGTATGCTCTGCCATCTGGAGACATCATCGCACTTTCTACCGTGTGGAGAAAGGTATCAGGGTCTTGTGCAGGAAGGGGCATGCATTGCTTTAATGTTTCTTGCTCCCCTGAACACAAATGGTGTATATAATTAAGCTGATGTAGAATGTTGGCAAACAATAGTAGCATCAGTATTGGAATGTGTGCACAGTGTGCAAAACGGATGCACAACGGGAAATGGGTAATGGTAATTGCACGTGGATGATGTTCCACTTCGTTAGCGGACAACAAGGACAGAGAGCATTGTGGTGTTGCTGTCCAAAGTGTTGTCAGGCAGTGCATCAATGGCACTCAGATACAAGTTTGCCCATGGGATTGCAATTGTGTCAAAGGGTAACAAGGTGCATTTGTTCCGTCTTGCAGCATTTGGCTGAGCTGCTGACTCCGGAACTGTCTCCACTTGAGTACATGGTGAGAAACACACACACAGCTTTACTTGCGAAGTGCTGGGCTTGTTGCATGTGTGCAACCTGGTGTGGGGACATGATCCCATCAAGTGCCTGATGTGCATGGCATTCTGCTTTGCTAGACACCCAGCAACACAAGGGGTTTTGTTGCAATTGGGCTTGGGAACTGTATGTACATACATGCGCAGCAGATAGTTGACAACGGCTAGGGTGTTGGAGCATCTGCTGCTGTGCAATTTTCCCAGTCACTTTGCCTTGTGTTGATAGGACTGGATGGCTGTGAACGACCTTGACACAAGGATGCTTGTCTTGTGAATCGATTCCACACATTTACCACAGGGAGCTTCTCTCTCTTCAGCTACGGATTGCACTGATTCCTTGCTGCGACGAGTTACAGCACTATCAAGATATTGCTGTTCATTTCAATGATTCCAGCAACTGAATATCACAAAATGAACATGCTGATGAAAAGAATTTGTTGGTAAGCAAAAAGTTATTACATCTTTTGTGTACTTGAGAATGTAGTGCATGGTTCCACTGATGTGTTTTCTGCTGCTGCCAGATGAAGGAATATCCAGGAAATTCACTGGAAAAGATGCGGTCAGTGGTCGGGCGTTTTGGGCTGACGGGTAGCACTCAGACCCATCCAATCAAGCAGCTCTCAGATGGACTGAAGAGTCGCCTTGTGTTTGGGTGGCTTGCGATGCGCAAGCCACACATATTGCTTCTAGACGAGCCCACCAACCACTTGGACATTGAATCGATCGACTCGCTCGCAAGGGCCATCAATGGTGAGTGTTGCATTATGCTGATGCAGCACAATGCGGATGGACAACTGGATGCTGACTTGAGGGAGGACAACAGTTGTCACAGGACGGATGCCATGCTCGTGTGTGCGATATTTGAGCCTGTTGCTGCACTTGGTCAATCTGCAGCCTGTCTCAGCACTCAACAGAAGGAAATCGCCATGGTCGTGATTGTGTTGGCAGAATCTACCGTTGGAGTCACCACGATTCTCTGAAGCAAATCGGTTCATGCATCGTGCATCCCTGTTGGTTGAAAGAATGTCTTGAGATCGCTGGCTGGTTTCACGCCACAAGAACTGCGGAAATGCGTGGGTGCATTTGAACGGAGGGGCATCATTTGCCAATGCCGATCAGGTGGCACTTCCCATACATAGGAAAGCTTTGAGCAGTGTATCTGTGTGTGTGTGTTTTTGTCTGTACGTGGTTTCTGACGAACATCCCTGTGAATCCTTTGATTTCAACTGCTACGTGTGACATTGCTCTTTTGGTGGTGCAGAGTGGGACGGCGGCATGGTGCTTGTGAGCCACGACTTCCGCTTGATTTCGCAAGTGGCAACTGAAATATGGGAGGTCGCCAGCGGGGCCGTCAAAAAATGGGACGGCGACATCATCTCGTATAAGCTGCACCTGAAAAAGAAGCAGGACAAACAGAGGCGTGAATGAGCAGCACTTGTGCCTGCGGCACACCGTGAGTTCCTGGTCGCTGGATGCGTTTCGGTTTGTTCCCCTGTCAGGTCCGTAGCACTCTGCTGGCAGGGCGGAAATGCCACCTGCGGGGTGGCGCAGACCGGAATGAACTTGGCTGCGGAAATTGTTTTATTTCATCCCTTGCCTTATTCTTTCTCGGGCTCAATGTGTCGATGGTGGGGACATGGGGTTGGCGGTGCCCGTGGTGCCGGCCAACCTGGTTGAGCCGATTCCTAGATGCAGGTACATTTGATTGTTGGGGTGGGGAGAAGTTTGGAGTATTTGTTGTTGGCGTGCACACTTGGCCAATTTGCAAAATGAATTCCTTCCCAAGCCACATGGCCACAGACCCGGGCCAGAAATGGCGGTCATTCCAACCAGCACACGCACAGCAGCAAGGCCACCAGGCGTGCCCTTTCGGGCAAAGCTGGAATCAGCATTCCAGAAAGCTGATCGATGAACTGTTGAATTAATCAACGAGCTGACTGACACGCAGTCTGAGGCTGGGAGGTGTGTCCAGGGTTGCGCCATGAGTGTGGGGGATTCACACCAACAGGTTACCTTTGCGATCACACACATTGGCTGCCTTCGTGTCACATGGAAACTACCGTCTGAAAGGGGGCTATGCACAGCTACTCGGCGCCTGATCTAGCTGGATGGACTCAAATGAACACGTCCACATGAAAACCTGGAGCGCGTTATGCGGCTCTCCGCTCCACGATGAGCACGAATGGTTTTGCTCCGGCAATGGCCTTGACTTCTTTCACGGGTGCAGTCAAAGGATGGACGACAAGTCACAAAGTGCGGGGCACGTTGTTGCTCTCCAGTCATGGCCAAGCGGGGTGTAAAGTCGCTTTGCGTTCGACAGCACAATTGTGACAGCCAATGGCCACTTCCACCGCCCTGTTTGTCTTCAGCGAGGAAACAACAAGGTCGGCTTCAGAAACATGACAGGTGGCAACAGGAGCCCTTGCTGCTGTTCGTGAGAGCTGGAAGCCGCAAGCGCTGATGACCAAACTGGATATCGCACAAAATGGAAGAGAGCTCTCGTGGCATGTTGCGGCAGAAGAGCCCCATCGCATCGCCATGAGTAATGCACTGGAGAGTGCACTTCAAGCACTTTTGGGGCTTGGCAATTCTGTCGTGTCAGTGAAATTACTGGCTTCTAAGGAACCTACAGACGTTGAACAGCTGAAGACTCACGCGCGCAGATGTGCTTTTCATTCATCAACTCACGTTGTTTTCAGTTCTTCACGTAACATGCCTATTAGGAAGAATGGGCATAGCAAATTTGCGATATCTCGAGACACATCCACACGGCAAGGCAAAGCAAGGGGTCCCTTTGCACCAAAATCGGTGCATCTTGTGTCATTTCGTTCGCAGCCCCCTCCTCCCATACTTCCCTGTCCCTTGCACCCCTCGCAACCTCGTCAACCACCAGCAATGCTGCCAGGGAGTCTGCGTTCCAGTTGTCTGGGGCTGGCAACCGTCGTCTGCCACCTCCAGCACCTCGACTCACTTGGCTACCGGCTCAGAAAATGCAAAGTCATCCATCGGCACGATGTCGCAATCTGGAGGCAGATCGCCCTGCTCCAGGGTTCCGCTGCCGAGGTGGACAAAAACCTTGGCGATGACCGCCTCATCAAAAACCACTCCCAGGAAAGAAAGCCCCTGGGGCGCCGCGGGGACAAAGAAAAGGCCTAAAGAGCCACCGCTTGCGTCAAACAATTCAAAATGTGTCTCTTCATCGTTGTCCACGTCCACAAAAATGGCGCCAAAGGCAGAGACCAGTGCCGCCTCGTCTGCAGCAGGAATGGAGAATTTGATTTCGAAGGTGTTGTTGATCAGGGGGCTGAAGATGCGCTCGGGGCTGAAGGCCTGGAACTGCACGGGGTGCGTGGCGTTGATGCTGTCGAACAGGTTGTCCGGGAATCCCGGGTCGTTCTTGGGGGGGTTGCTCACGCGAAATTCGCCTGCATCCGTCACCAGCGCCATGCCGCGCGTGACGTTGTTGCGAAAGAAGTCTCCCGGCATGTCGAAAGGCACCGCGTCCGCATCCCAGTTGGCCGACCTTGGGGGGGGGGGGGAGAGCGGCAGCCACCTAAGTCACCCCCGAGTCGCGCATTGCGAGCAATTGCCCTTGCAAGGGGACCCTTCAGTCCATGATGTATGAAGCCCAGACAAGATTGCTATGTGGCTGGCAGAAATGGGGAAATAACTTGCCGTTCTTAGTGGAAAGGGTGTTCAACTGAAGATGATGCGTTTTACAACAGCCAGAAATTCTGTGGGCAAAGATCCTTGACGTAACCGAAACGTGCGCCCCTGCAGTCTCCGCTTGCTTGCCATGCAGAGCGCACTGATGCACGGCATTAGGCCAACTCGTAATCTATCGCACAGGAAAAAAGGGGAAGCTCGATACTGACATGTACCACACCCAAACACAGTTTGGTATTATCATAGTTTGTCTGGGTATTACCCAGACTGCACGAGGTTGTCAGGAGTGAATGGAATAAAAATCCAAGAGAGTCTCCCGACTAGTTCAGCGCATCAGGACATTATTTTTCCTGCAGTGCCATGGGTTGTCTTGAGGACAAAATACACTCTGCTTGAATGTGCAAATGCCAACCGCAGGTGTGCCGCAAGGTAGAAACTACAGTCTTCCCCCTATTTACATGAACGAAATCCATTCCATTGACGAAACATGAGATATACAAATGACGGGGCAGCCGCCAGCTCCCACTTCCTTGCCGAAGAAAGAAACGCAGCCTAAGGTATTCCAAGCAGTCAGTCCAATCAAATGTTACCGAAAATCTTCACAAGACCCGCCCGTCATGCTCTTACCTAAATCCACCCTTTATGGGGCCGGCTGTATTGTTGTTGTCCTCGCCTCCCAGATTTCTCTTGAAGGCATTGAAAGCGGCCTCCGCCAGGACGCGATGGCCGCCAGCCTTCAGGATGCGGGCTCCACCCTTCGCCGCGAGCCTTCGGCGGAGGGCGGGGCCGCCCCGGCCCGCTACCCCGTGCAGAGCAGCGGTGACGGCAAGCAACGCAGCCACAAGCCTGAGCGCCTGCCCACGTGCGCGGCTCCATGTGTGACCTCTCAGCCAATCAGCCACGAGCATCCACTGTGCTGTGGGCTCGCTCCGCGTTTGCGGAACGGCGCTGCGGGTGGCGAGGCCGGGGCGACGCCCAGCCGCGGCAGAAGCTGCTCACCGTCATCGCTGCAATCCGCGAAGCTGTGTGCCTTCTGGGCCGCGGATATCCGCGGGACTCTGGAGTCCCTGTTTGAGCGATGAAGCGTGCCGTCAGCAGCGTCGCCGGTTGAGTTGCGAACTGCTTTCCCGCCGTGCTGTCATTTATAAAAAGCTGACAGCTCGACAGTCGCCCGCGCCAGCTTGCGGAAGCAGCTGCGTTTCTGTCGCAGCGCTCATCTGCATTGCCGGTGTGGCGTATACGCGGCGGGCGACATATGCATGTCCGTCGCACCAGCGCGGTGTTCCAATGGTGGTCCTGCCTGGATCTCACTCGCTGAAGGTGCGCGGATCTTGGGCTGCTTGGCTTTGAAACGTGTGTTGGGCGGCTGACTTGGGGCTGGTGTGGCATCACGAGAAGCCGTCACCAGAGGCGAGTCCCTTGATGTCAACACAGACGAAGTTGGTTGTTTTGAAATTGCGAGCTCTACTGTGGGCAACACCCTGCTGTGAACTTCCCCGTGAGAATTGCCAGAGCTCGCAGATGAGGAAAGAGAGTTTGGCCAATCTGTCGATCTGGCACGTACTGAGGTGACATCATCTGCAGCGCCAGCAACTTGGGACGGTGTTGAACAAGCCACGGACACTGCTTGCAAGCAGTGCCCAATCGGGCGACATCGTTAGCTGCCCGCTTTCCCTTTGCCTTTGTTTGTTTGAAGCCTGTCTCCTTTCCCTGTTGATTCATTAGTATTCGCTAGTTCGAGGCAAGTAAGTATTAACTACTCCGTGTCACCAAAGAAAGATTGCACGGTATTGATATTTTTCCGTTGGTGAAATCTCACTGAATATAAAGGTGAGGAGGACATTGCTCCGGAAGTTTGCCACTCTGCAAATTTATGCGTAGTTCATGTAATTTCGCCGGCAGCACTTGGGCTGACCGGACGTGAATTCAAATATTGTGAGATCGAGCACATGTGCTCAGGAACATTGACTGACCTTCGCCAATTTGGCGAAAGGTGTTTTGTTGTGGCAAATTTAATCAAGCGAGCATCATGATGATGTCAATGGTATTGATCGTAATCTAGAAGCCTGGGTAAATACTGCTGATCAAAATTCGCCAGCAAGTTCGTATCCAGAGATATTCCGAATTGCGTAAGATTCATGGTTGGGAATAGCAATAGTGGATCCAGAGAATTTCCGGGAGATGATATTTAGCTCAATTATCTGAGCTGACTCCAGCTCGGCAAAAAGAAACTGGAGGCAAGATATGAGCTCCATTTGCGACGGGACAAGTAATTCATCTGGAAAAATGTACGTCACTTTCTTTACACAAAGTGTGAAGACCTATATGTATACGTAACTGCAACTGCCCAAAAGTTAGGGTGTCTACCACAAAAGCACCGGCGCCGGTTAGCCGTCAGAAATCTTCCAACAAAATGCACCCAAGACACTTTTCTACCTCCGGATGGCTGAATATATACATTTTGATAAGACGTTAGCGATGAGGATGCCACTTTCCATCGTTTCCTTTTCTCGTTGGTGCAGCGACTAAGGATAAACCGTTGCTCACAGTGCACAGCTCCTAATATGCTGTCGCCAAGAAACTGTGTGCGGCAAAGACAGGATCATTGGAAGTGCGGCAAAGACAGGATCATTGGAAACTTCTCAATCGCAATACGAAAGGAGTCTGGAAGCCCATCACAAAATCCTTAAACATCCATCTATGCACAGCAGCATGTTCACGTGCACAAATGTTGCGCAATCCTAGATAAACCATTAGCACAG